TTTTTTTTTGAAAAGTTTTTTTCTTAAATTGTTAATATTTGTCGTAATTGTCTTAAAAGTAATAGAAAACGATATTCATATGGTTTATACCACGTCACATTAACCCATAAATGCTCAGAGAACACATTTCCATTTGAACCCTTGCCACGTAATGAGTGCGACGAAAAAATATTGGATAACTAGTGTTTCTATGTTTCTAACGATGCTCTTTTCGATGGTGTTGGTTAAAAATACCTCCGACAATATTAAAGCATGGAAAGATCGAAAATAAGCAAAAAAACGTGATTTTTGAATTGACTTTTTTCTTAAAAAGTAATTTTTTGTGTCCTTACGATTTTTTTGTATGCTTAAAACCTATATAGATCACCTCGATATCTAAACATGAAATAATCATCGTTGGTCATCATCAAGTCGAAATGCCTTTGCAAACTGTTTGATCAAACCAAGTTTAATGTAAAGTGGTGGAAGCAATACTTTTTCGGGATCTTTCAAACTCGTATTGATGACATTTTTCACTCTGACTTGCATTCATTCACCAATTGCATTCTAATTTGGACATAGGAATACCGAATAACAATGATTTTGATTTACCATAAGTCCACTGTCTTAACACTTCAACACATAACCAGCATATTTTATCGTAACCCACTGTGTATCTTGGTGACACAACTTCATTCTGAAATAAGCTTAATAAGCATGTTTTACAAAGTCTGTTATATTCAATGTTTGCTTAATTATTGTATATTGTCCACTAATGTTGCAAAATACATTTATTGTTTTTACAACTCCGAGAAGCCATAGTTAAAGATACACGTTAATATTATATCTCTCTCAATAATGGCGCGCTGTAAACTATTTTTTTTTTTCAAGCGGTGTAAACGACTATAGTTACTTTCAGACTATCTAAAATAAAGTAAAAGACAATATACTCTTCAGTCAGAGACTATAAAATAGAAATATAAGCTATAAATGAATTTTGTGAAAATTCAAATAAATTTGCGGATGCAGAGTTATAAATATACATACATGTACTAATCTACATCCAAAAAAAATGTGAAGTGATACGTTAAAACAAAGTTTATATTTGCAAAATATATAGACCAACATTTGCATGCTTAAGATAAATTTATACAAAAAAATTTTTTATCGCAGACCTGTGTTATCGTAAATCCACACTTCATAATTTAAATCATCATTTCTATCCAATCCATTATATTTCGAGTTTTAAATCGTGAAGTCCCTAAAACTAGAAAGCATAGATAATTAATTGAATTTTATTGTAAAAAAAATGCTTTGTTCTTTATTTGGATTATTTTATAACTAAGCTGTATGGTTACTGTAGTGGTTGTACCTAGTAGTAGTTATAAATCATTTCTACGACAAAAATTCTTGCTGCTCGAAATGACAAGCAGATTTACCACTTCTACTACCTTTATAATAAATCCACAACTCTCGCAGCGGACAATATATCATAACTTGGAATTCGAGATTTAAAGATTTCTTAAGTAGTTGCCTCCCCTCCCTCCTTAAACGATTTAAACTTCTTCAAAAAAGAAGATCTTCTAATGATGAATCGCTGCTACTATCTAATCATTAGATAAAAATTTACATTGTATAAATTAATATTTAGAGTAATGTCCTCTAATTTATTTCAAGGCTTTAGTTCTTGAACGTTTTGTCAGAATTTACAGTTTATATTAAATTACCCAGTTTTATAGTGTCTTTTCCAGTAACTTTATAGATGCAGATTAATGAGGGGATACTAATGCGTTGTAATCTTTTTTTATTTAAAAGTTTACCTTACAGGGTTACTTACTTTTTATCCATTTACGTTTCAATCGTTTTGGTTCATACATTTAAATCGGTAACCAAAATCTCGATGTGCAATACGTTCCAGTTAAAGAGCGACGTCATTCCCGAAAGCCCCTCGATAAAAAGGGCTATTAGTCGACCGGTATCCCAAAAAGTACTTCGCCAAACTGACTATAAAGTAAAAAGGGTGAGAAAATCACCAGCCTTAACGCCATATTCTGCTACATTTCCTTTTCTTAATGTCCTCACTTTTAAAGTTTACCATTTTTTTTTATGACGAAGAAATTGAAAATTATTTTATGAGAGTGGTAAACCAACTATAAGCACATACCTATTAGGCAGAAAGGTTTAACTATATATTTAGAAGGCGATCAGACCAAAATTCCCTAATTTAGCGAAATGTATTTCAATATGAATTAGCTACAGAGTGGTTAAAACAAAGCGAGAAGTTTTTGGCGTTTTTCAAGGAAAATCAATCATCTTAAAGATAAAACAGTTTCTAAAAAATTTCAAAAATGTAATTACTGATTAATTTACTTCATTAATAATATCAAAACTGCCCTGTATTTACTCAGAAATATTTATTTAATTTGTCGATATTCGGGTACATCAATAGTACCACCAATATCGATCGTCTGCGGCTTACATTCATCATAACTAGAGATGTTCAAAATGGTTTTTTAAAAGTATATAAATGCAAAATGCAAATACTTTTTTGATTTGCTATTTCAAACGTAAAATACAAAATAGATTTCCCTTTTATATTTTAAGTTCTAAATGCAAAATACGCATTTTCAGATAAATACTTTTTTGTAATACACCTATTTAATTTTCTACATTTACTTAAATGTAAAATATAATTTAAGAAAACCTTGCAGGCATTTGCTCATTTTTTAAATATTGAAGTTTTACTAGGTTAATAGTGGTGTTTGCACTATTATATCACCAGCTGTGAAGATTAAGTATGATTCATATTTTTCTGTTTGAAGTGATAGAGGTATAGTTTTTCTATCTTTATGTTATAGGTCCTTCAGTTCAGCAAGAAATATCTATCTATATGCTTCCTTATTTACCTTTGTTACCCGTTTTAATTGGAAAAAAAACTGATGCCAAAATAGTCTGTTTACCGTGAAAGATCAGATCCAAAATGGGGTTGTAAATAATTTTATTGATGTAAAATCAACATCAGTCATTTTATATCAACATATTTACAACTTTTTGGGTTCATCTAATAAGTGAAGTTTTTGGAAGCGTTTTCTAAAAATTTTGGATTATAGGCATTTATTAGC